TTTATTAGCTACAGCAAGAGGAAATGAAGTCTAAGTTTCTGATTTTGGTAACTGTGTAGGTGATAGCACCACTTAATAAATCAGGAGGAGAAAGAAATTCAAGTGCAAGACAAAAGTTTATAGAAAAGAAAATATTCAGTTTGGGAATATATTGAATTTGTGTGACATCCAGATGGAAGTATCTGCTAACAAAGGTGAAGTTCTGGGAGGATGATTTATACTGTTGACATACATTGTGGTAAGTGGCAACATGAAGAGGAGCTTTGACATTCAAAGAGAACAGTAAAGAGGAATCAAGATTCTCATACAGATCAACATAAGGGATGAGCAGGTAAGAGAAATCCACAAAGAAACTGGGAAGAACAGGTTAGAAAGAAGCAGAATCAGGAAAACACTGTGAAAAGTCTGGAGAGTTGAGTTTCTGGAAGAAATGGATCATCTCTATCAAATGCAGCTTGAAGTCAATTAAATTAAATTAAATTGCCAGAGTAGTTTTTTTTGGGGTGGAAGGGGGAATGAAGATTTTATGGACCCTATCCCCACCCACCCCAAAAAGATCCAAGACACCAAGGACTACAAATCCTATAATGTCATCATCACAGACAAAGGCAGAATTTCTGGAAACTGAGGATGGAGTTAAGCAGTCAGGCTTGGTATATAACCAGACACGTGGGCCTTGAGGGTTTTTCACCAATTTTCAGTGTGCTATTGGGGTCCCAGCTCAGCAGGACTGGTAAGATACATTGACCAATTTCTCTCTCTTTCTCCCTCAGTTATTCCTTTCTTCATTTCCCCTTTCTGTAAATTAACCCTTTAGTAACCTTGTGTGCCTGCTGTTGATTCTCATTATAAGTCCCTGTTAAGTGCACAGGTAAGGACCCACAGTCAGGCCAACCCATTTAACATTGGGGTTCCCTGTAACAGTTTTAGTCAAATAGTGTGTAGGAAAGTCAAATTATGGTAGGTTAAAAATAAATGGAACATAAGAAAGCAGGGCTAGTAACGTACAATATTTTGTTTAACTGCTTGGTTATCATGGTAAAAATTTAAAAATTATTAACTAGAAATAGTCCTATGGCTGGGTGTTTCATTTAAAATAATTGATTTTTTTATTTATTAATTCATTGTCTAGCATACTTATGGTTCCTGAGGAGTGACTAGAGAGGAAACACTTAAAAGTAGGATTTCAAGAAATTGACTAATGAAACAATGCACAGGAGAAGTAGCACAAATTCACAGGACACTGGCAAAATAAGGAATGCTGGACACCCTTGGACTTGTGCAGATGGGTCCTGAGTTTCGGGGATGGATATTACATGCTTGGTTGCCCACGTTTATTTTGTAACATGGAAGCAGGATCATGGGTGAGCACTGAAGGTCAACTGCATTGGAAACTAAACCAGATAGTGAGACCTAACCTCAAACTTGGGGGTATTTGATCCTTTTCTCACATTTTCTTTCACATGATCTGCAACGCATGTTGTTGCTATTACAAAATAATAAAGGAGCATCTGCTTCATAATTGGAGCATCCTCTGATGAACTGATCTTTAGAATTCCAAACCTCCGGCTGGCCTTTCTCCCTGTGCACTCCATTCATCTAGTTTCCCAGTTGACAAGAGGAGATAGAGAAATGGATTGTGTGTGCACACGGACATATGTTACATTGCTTAGAGGTGATGACATACATAAAGCTATCAAAGAAATGTTCTAAGGTTAAGGGATGAAAAATTTGAGAAGTACTGCTTTCATTCATGCAGAAATTGTACTTTGTACTTACCTTTGAATTCTCTGATCCACATAACTTTGCGTGCCAAACATTCTTGAGTTCATTTTACGTAGATAAACGTGTCTTCATCAGCTTTCTCCAGTTCCCAGCCAAACATTATTCAGCAATGAACTAACTTAGCAGGCTCGTGGCCCTTGTTGACCAGCAAAGCAAGAGGCACTGCTTTGGTTTTAGGCTTCAATTATCAGGCCATGTCCGCTGAATTGGGAAGGTCAACTGCAACTGCAAGCAAGTCAGCCAGCTCCAAACTCCTTGTTTCCTTGGAGATGGGAGTGAAAAGAGGATGGTTCAGACATAAAGTTTAGAAAATGAAAGTTCCAGTTCTGTTTTGACTTTCCCCAGGGGGTAGAAAATATTTCATATTTGGATGAATGAAAAATTTCTGTGATTACCCATCTCACTTTGATCACTTCATTGTCTTACATTTTCCAAGTTTCTTTCCCCAAACTCTTCTCAAATACTAAAGCTGCATGTTTTAAATATACATAGGAATCCAGTTCCTTTGGTGAACTTAAGGGAAGTGTGCACCCTAAAGCAGATCTGTGACTTAAAGTTGTGGTAGAAGAGCCAGGTGGTCTAGTTAATGACTAGAAAGTGTGCAATGATTTTGTCTCCAGGTCAAACTTGCCTCCTTGAAAGTTAGCAGGGTCCAACATTCTGGAGCACATCCAGGAAGGCACTCAGGAGAATAACAGGGCCTAGATACCATGTTATGTGAAGAATGTCTAAGAAACACTTTAGACTCTGAAGAAACCTAAGCCTTACCTATATTTATATAGTTTCATGTTCAGTCTGCTTAACCTGCTCAAGCAGCTTAAGGAAAAAGCAGATGCATTGGTTCTGATAACTCCAATGTCTAGTCAAGAACCCTAGATTTGGGTATAGCTGGAATCAGGGGCTTCAAACTATGCCATCAGAACTTAATCTAACCTTCTCCATTCTCGTCTCTATGCTTCTCAATGGTGTTTGTCTTCTTAGCCATATTTCCCTTTGCTTGGGTGGCACCACACTTCCTATCCCCCAGCAACACTGCTAAAAAATGGGAAACCATGGGCCCTCCCTGGTGGCACCACTGGTTAAGACGCAGCACGGCAAGCTAGCCGCAGCTACTCCAGTGCGAGTTGGATCCCTGCCCCGGAGGTGATCCACTTGGCACAGCAGACCTCTCCTGACCTGCCTACTGCTCCCCTGAACAGTGTACTTGGTCGACTGGCCTATTCTGCTCCCCACTCTGTCCCTGGGGAAGCCACTCACCACCCCTGCACCTTTGACCTGTACCCCAATCTGTATGCATAAATAAATAAATCTTTTTTTAAAGTTTTAAAATCACACAAATAAAGAAAAAAAAAGGAAACTAGTCTTTCCACATCTCCAGCAAAAGTCCTGGGTCTATTGGCTCTAAATGTCTAACTTTGGTCAACCCCCCACCCTTCAGCCCTGGGTGGACATGGCTGAAGGAAAGATGTCTCATAAAGGAAATCCTTTCTGCTGTCCTCATGAGAGAAGCAAACGCCAGGCACGCAAAAGCAGCAGGTGTCTCACACCATCTTCAAGTACAAGGTGGGCTTTGTCAGAGATAAACCTACCTGTGGCAACTGGGCGCAGAGGAGGCAAGTTGGCTGGGGTCCTGGAGGCTGGAAGCAACAAGCACCCAGCAAATGTTTACTCTTTGGGCTTCCTCTCACAGCAGGCACTCATCTTCTCATAGCCACACCCTGCAGCCATAGCCATTTCCCTGTCTGAGTGAAGCAGTTCTTATAGTATAGCTCTGTCTCCAGGTGCAGGTGTGCCCACTGACACACACCCATACCACAGTCCAGGTGTCCACCATCAGGAACATATGCCCCAGCCCATGCTCCCAAGCATTTTGTGCATTCAGAGTTGCAGGGTATAGTCACAGAGGCCAGCGATGTAAAAATTTGACCATCACTTACCCTACAAGGGGATAATCATCTACAACACCCCAGAAATGAGAAGTCGGCCACTTACATGACTTACAGGAAAGTAAGATTTCAGCTTACTCCCCCATAAGACATTTTCACAGTTAGAACCATTAGCAGCTGAAATGGGCACCTCAAGATGTGCCAAGTACCCAGTCTTTTGGTGTATGCAGGCTCCAGCCAGATGGGCAGCTGTCAGACGCATTATGCGAGAAATTCCTGCATTAGGCAGAGCTTTGCCAGCATGACCTGTAAGGTCTCTTTTGACTCCACAATTCTATTATCCTTGTTAATTTCCACAATTCAATTTGCAGTGCGGATAAACAAACCAACCTAATTTGATCTGGAACTTCTGCAGGCTATCACAGGTCACTTAATCGAAAACATATGGCTATAGCCATTACTGTGTTTTGTGAAGTCCTCTAACAGACCTGGTTCTTAACAAGGTCTCCCTGTTACTTGTTCCACTTATGGCTTTTTCCATCCCCCCACCCTCCTACTATTACACAATTGCCTTTCATTAGCCTTTAGATTTGGGTGGAGAAGACCATGAAGAATTTTCTTTTTGCCTTTCTCCTCTTAAAACCTTATAATAGATGAGTCCCAAGTAAAATCAGTTTGCTTATACCATTACCTCTGAATTTGGCTTTCACTTTGCAAGTTCAAGATTCTGTGAGAAGTGGGAGAAAGGGCCTTGGAGAGCAAGAACTCTGCGCAAAATTTATTAGGGCAAGTTTTCAAAGAAGGAAGAGTGAGGTTTTTTTAATTTGATAATAATTAATTTACAAGGTAAATTTAATACCTTGCAATGTTGTTAAAATTGGTGAAGAAAACCTCTTGAACCACGCTCACAAAGAAATGAACACATTTGTGTTAAATAAGATTTTAAATGAAATCACACCCCCACTAATGACAGACATATTCTATGTTACTTAAACTGGAATTGAGGAGGCCTTCCTGGAGTAAGTCTCAGTGTTATCACTGCAGCCTGAGTTTGATCCCCGGCCAGGGAGCTGACCTACATGGCACAGCAGACTTCTCCTGTCTTGCCTGTTGCTCCCCTCAGTGTGTATTTCATACCTGTTCTGCTCACCACCCTGTCTCTGGTGAATCCTGTCACTTCCCCTATACCTCCGGCCTATACCCCAGTTCTTCTACACAAAAACAAATTTTAAAAAAGTAAACTGGAACTGACATATTACACAAGTAAAATTTTGTTTATGCCATGGTATGTCCATCACTGATAACTCATTCTGTTTCTTGTCTCTTCAGTGAATGTTGTATCAATGTTACAAGAATTTTGGGAAAGCAAGCAGCAGCAGAGAGCAGCATTCCCAGGTGAAGGAGTGGTGGTGTATGAATCACTGCCTTCTCCAGGACCTCCCTTTGTGAGTTATGTGACCCTCCCTGGGGGAAGCTGTTTTGGGAACTTTCAGGTGAGCATAATCAGGAAAAGTTAATTGAGTTTTTTTTTTTTAAAGGAGACTCATAAACTTATAGCATGATGAGTTTCTTGGCTGCATAAAAAAAAAAGCTGTGCCATATTCCAATATATATACTAGACAACCAGTATGATGTTCCATTTTTTTTAAAGTATGTGTTTTATATTAGAATGTCTTATATCATTTCTTTATAGAAAATGAGTTTCATAGCATTTTATTTGCCTGATAAATACTGCCTTCCCCCTCACATATTTTATAATAAGACTGGAAGAATAAAGTACTGTGTAAAGTTCTTCCATCAGTACAATGTCGCCACCTTTATGAATTTTGTTATCAAATACTAACAAATTTACTACATACAAGAGTTGAGAATCACAGGCCTGGGACCAGGCATCTGTGCTGAGCATGATTTCTGCCTCTGTGGGACTGTATGTCTGACTGCACTTCTTGATTTTCCCGACTTCATGGTGGAGATACCTGCAGGGCCCATCAGGGGTCATAGGATACACATCTGCAATGTGTTTGTCTGGTTCACAATATTCCAAGTGTTGTTTGATAATTATTATAAATATTCCTTTCTAGTTAGTTAGACCTTTATTATGCTTATGATGACATAAATGATGATACATTTTTAATTGTATACCCACTCATACAAAAACATTTGCTTACATTAATCATCAATATTTGGTTGTATATAACAGATACTCACTGAGTAACAACGAAATATCAAGCATTAGGTAAAATGCTTGAGGAAATCAATAACTGCATAGAGTGATATATGTGTATGTGTGTATATGCTATATATATATATTATACACACATATATATACACACTTATATATATGTACACAGTTATACTTGAGGGTGAATAAAAGCATAAAGAAGCTACTCAGTGTACCAGTCACCTTTATAAGTATCCCTTAGTACAGTAAATGCTCACTTTTCTGTTGTTGGCAAAAACATCTATAAAGATTCATGTTTCTCTTCTAGCTTTTGAAACTAGGCATCCCAGCAGCAAATTTCTAATGTATCTCTTTGTAATGTGAGTTGACAAAACTTGATGTCATGTAATTTTTAGGACTAACCTCATACCTGACATTTCTATTTCCATTTACTTTCAAATTACTTTCCATTTGAACTAAGTGTGTTTCACTCATTTCTTTGATCTTGTTGCTCTGTTTTATGTAGTGTCAAATCCTTTGTGGAGTAAAAGGAAATATAGTTCAGTAAATAGGCCCACAAACCTGTATCTGCCTATGGGAAGTCACTGAAGTCTTCATAGCAGATGCAATCATGAGCGGGAGTGTGCAACGAGAGCATCTGAAGCTGTCGTAAAAGGGAGACGACATTCTCATCATCAGGAAAAATGAGTGCAAAGGTTTGAGGCAGGAAAGGATGGTTGAGATGTTGGTTGAATTCTCACAGCAAACCATAAGAGATCTTCACACTCTGCAAAGGAAAACAGGTTTTGTTTTATGTAAATAGAAACCCTGAAGGATTCTGAGCAAGAGAGTTATATATTCAAATGTGTTTCAGAATTAGTGTCCTAGTAGCATGGGGTTATTTTAAGGCCGAAGAACTACTTTCAGAATGTCTCAGCCAGCCCAGTCTATGTTCTATTCCAAGCAGGGATCACCAGTGGATTTTGATATCTGACTAATAAAAGGGAATGACTTGTATGTGAGTCTCACAGCCTCAGAACAGAACAGCCAAGAGTGAGGGGCAGGGAAGGGAGAAAAGGCAGCAATTGAGGAAGGGACTCCCTAATCCATGAATGTTTGCAGATCCATCACCAGACGTCCCACGTGAAGCCTTCCCACCCATACAGAGTTGCCATCAGCCTTCCCACTTAGAGAAGGTCTCCTAAGGAGAAAGGCCTCCACAGCCATAGTGAGGTCTTGCCAATCACCAAAATGAATTTATTTCCTTGTCCATGAATCCCAATGAACTAAAGTTTACCAAACATCTGAGGAGGTGTTTTGCTTCACCAAAAGCAAGGAGAAAAGGCCAAGATTTTAAAAAAAGAACAAAAACAGTTCAAGCAACAGAGGACATAAAAGTGTACTACAGTGGGCCCTCCCTGGTGGCGCAGCGGGTTAAAACACAGCACTGAGAATCTGAGGCCACTTCCGCATGAGTTCGATTCCCGCCTGCCCCGGAGGTGACCACATGGCGCGGCAGACCTCTCCTGGCCCGCCCGCTGCTACCCTCAGCAGTGTACTTCGTCCATCTGCCTGTTCTGCTCCCCACTCTGTCTCTGGTGAAGCCTCTCACCGCCCCTGAGCCTCTGGCCTGTACCCCAGTTCTGTATGCACAAATAAATAAATCTTTAAAAAAAAAAAAAAGTGTATTACAGTGAGTATCAGAGAACTGTGGGGGCTCATTTATCCCTAAAACAGTTATGAAAAAAAAGAGCAGGCAGAAAACAGGAATGAGAAATATGATTGGCAAATCTGAACAATAAAACTAAATTTAAAAAAAGAAGTAAATTATGAGTAGACATATATTACAGCTCAAATTAGTAAAGAGTAATGAGTAAAAGGAAATAGTAACACTTACAGAATTTAGAACAAAAAAAACAAAGGCTCCACAGAAAAAGATATTACAAGAGATATGAGAATAAACCCTAGAAGTAAACATTAACCTAATATGAGTTCTAGAAAAAGACAAAGGAAATAATAATAAAAGCAATTTTCTTTGAGTGAAAGAAAAGCACAAATTTTCAGACCGACATGTCTCACCGTATTCCAAGTAGGAAAATGACAGAAAAATCACACAGGCCTGTGGCAGTGTGCCACTTTGGGACAGCATTCTGCCTAAGTGATGACCAAGAGGACTTTTTTGGAGTTCCTTGATGACATGTCAGTATCTCAGGGAGTCTGTATCCTTATATCCTTATGTCTGTAGACTCTATATTTTGCATGTAGTAATTGACTAATACACTTTATTGAATGAGTAGCTATGTGGATAAATAACAAATCCCAAGAACAAATGAACATTTTATTTACCCATTTTTAAAAAATACTCAATAATCAGTTAAGGTATTTCTTCTACCTCTACAAGATGATGGTAGGCCAGTAAAGAAAAGTTAACATTAGCTAGTACTATTATGTTTAGATCAGTGTTTAAAGTTCTAAAAGTGGATTAATTTGAAAATATTGATTTAAAAACCTTGACTAACCAAGATTTGACCACACTTACACCCAGGTATGAATTATGTTTGCTTATATTCTATCTGAAAACACTCATATTCTATCTAGGACATAATGCATTTGACAGATCCATGAGTGCATGTAGAGAATATGAGTCTAAGAAATTCTAATGTTCTTGTTTTTGTTTTTGCTATCTTGAGAATTATTCCCAATCATCTCATAAATTTCTACCCAAAATGACAGGACTTCCCTTAGGCACTACATTTAACTTCTTCCCTATGTTCTTCAAAAAATAGAAAACAAAGTGAAAAAAAACTGAGCTCTTCAGTAGGGAGGCCTCTTAGTGATTTCCCTGATCATTCCAGGGTCTCTTTGTCCTTATGCTGAAATCATCATAATTTAAGGTTCTCAGGAGGATTGTTAACATCCTTGCTTTAAAAGATCCAGAATTTCCTGAATCAGATATGTTCTGAAAATGTATTTGGGTGATGGTTGTCAGAGCTGGCCTTTTAACCCATCTCACCCTCCAAGATACAATTTGAAAAAGGAAAACCAAGAAAAAAAAAGGAGAACATTTCTTCCAAAGCAACATCCTTACATTTTTTCTTTGTGAGTTCTGAAGCCATCTTAAATGCTATTTTCACGATGTAACGTTTCATCCTTTTTTCATCTTTTTGCCAGTAGTTGGCCTGTAAGAGCTTACATGTTCATTCCTGCAATGCCTTTCACGTAATCAAATGTCACTCCTGTGCACTGCAAATCATTTCATGATGGATTATTAATGCCAAGACCAGGTGCTGAGACATGGAGAAACCATTATGCCAGCAGTAGCCTTCTTACTGAGCCATGGACGGCACCTCCAGTGGTGCTAAGTAATTGAAAATACTCCAAGTGGAGCTTAGGACTGGATTTGCAGTGTTAATCCCTCAGGATTCATGAAAGTTGTAAGAGATGATGCTCATTTATTCCTTAGAAGAGTGATATTCAGAGTGAGCTTTTAGTCTTCTGATTAATCAAAGGAAAGCTTATGGACACAAACCATTGGTTATATGCAAAGAAACCTCTCACTGAAGTAAATGAAATGCTTGTATCCATGAAGACTAATTAAAGAATTTTCAGTTAGCCTGGACATCACCACCTGCAAAAATCAGAACGGAGGAAAGAAAGCAGCCATCACCCGGTCTTTAACCACACCATATAAATTACTGCAGTATAGAAAAAGAGAAGTAAATATGGTATTCATTTTTTAAATTTCTAAGAAATAAGTACAATAAGCTACTGGTACTAAATTATTTTTTCTTGTAGAAATTCTACTGAAACACATTACTATTTCTTATGTCTTTTATAAAATAAGCCATCTTCTCATTTATAGGTATTCATTAGAAATTCATGTTATGTTACACATTTTCTTGTATGATTTTTTTAAGGTGGTTAATCTGTCCCTAATCACATATCATGACCATGAAAACTTGCAGTAATTCCCATTTTTCACACTAAGAACAACACAAGGGCCATCAGATCAAGGTCTCACTCCTTTCCTGATGAACTCAGAAGGAAAGTCATTCATAGCGTCAGCAGCTGGTTTTGTTTCCATTTCAAAAGGGGAATTTAATTTAGTTTTTTTTCTTGTTTTGTATTTTGATTAAAAAGTTGTGATTCAAGTTTTGTTTTCAAGTCAGTGATGGGATTTTCCCTATAGAAAGTCTATAAGGGTGATTTGGATTAGTACATTTCACTCTTATTTGAAATAAAAAGCAAAAATTCCATTGGGTATAGTTCTAAACCATGTGATTATTTCTGATTAAATGTGTTCCCTGGCCAAAATATTGGTGTGATAATTTA